TGTGGTGTGTAAGATACTTTTTGTGATGCTGTACAAGGTAGAAAAATGAAGAAATAGACCTTTGTCATTCTGTGGGCTGAACTGTTTTTCTGGTATCAATATGTTAATTAGAAATTGTTTCTACACCCAATGAACAAAGCTTTATCAACAGCTAGTGAGTAGCTACTGGCGGGGGGAGAATAATAAAAATAATCATTTTGCTAGTACAACGTATGTCATCTAAAGAAATGGTTTAACTGTGAGTATAGAATTTTTCATGTTAGGAGTCTCTTCTCCATCAGGAGTTGGTGTAACCAAGCTGACACAGCTTCTGCAGTGTAGATTAGCCCTCTACTTTCTGGCTTTGCCTTAGTCCTGGATTAGCTTGTGACATGGGCCCTGCCTGCTTTTAACTGGAAAAGTTCAAACATGACTATACATTCTTGGCTGGAGTGACATTTTTAGCGGGGCATGACTATGAAGTTACAGTAATACATGTACTCGCATGTCTTGTTTTCCTTAGAAAAAAGGATTCAAACTACAACTGTAGTGAGTGCATTTTTAAAGCCCATGCAGCCGCAGTATTCTGTAGAGAAAGATGCTTGAAGGGAAATAGTGTTTATACTATGTCCATCTTACTATGTAATGTCATCTAAATGGTGACTTTAAGCTCATGAGATACTTAATAAACAGTTTTGAATAAATAGTTTGTCGGTATTGACTAAAGCTTAGTTAGGAGAGTATGTGGGGGACAATCATAATTAGTGGTTACCATCGTTTAGTAATCATATCTCACCAGTTTGGAAAATCTATTTCTTGAATGGCTGGAGCCTGAAGACGGACATAAATGTGCAAATGACTGAGCGCTAACAGAGAGAAACGGTGGTACCAGCTGTAGCTGTGATGCCTTCGACCGCTCAGAACAGAGTGAAGGAAAAAAATGTTTGTCCTTGTTTTAGGTTTGTTTAAAGAATCAGAAATGGGGGTCATTTTCATGCTATATGTGCGAGGAGAGGGGATTTTTTGTTCTGCTTCCCCAGTGTGACTAGGTCTGTCCAACTCTTACTCTGTCAAAAACTTCAGAGGGCCCCGAAGTGTTGGGTTTGCTTAGTTTTCTGAGATTCAGCCACCTGGAGTACACAGGTGATGCCAAGATGTATGTCGCTGGCAGGCACTTGGGGTATCTGGAGAAAGAGGCTACCTCACACAGTGTATAGCTACAGAAAAGTAATTTTCTAAGGCTAACAAAGATCTGTGCTTTCCTTCTGATTGTGAAGAATTACAGTCTCTTTAAAAATCCTTTTTTCAGCTGGGGCTATATGTATTTCAAGGCACTTTTTCTCCCTCCTAGATAGTTAAGATGGGTAGTTAAGCTTTCTTTCCCCCCGCCCAAGATGACAAGTGTTTGGGCAGTGGTTTTGGTTTTTAAACCCTGTGCACATCACTTACTGCATCTGAGTACCCCAGACTCTGCCTTTCTTTTTGGTAGCTGCCACGCTAGCGTCATAAACCGGTCTGTAGATGAGGATAGTGAGACACGTGGCAGATGTTAAATGCCATCTGGTGCAGGAAGGTAGCACATCACGTATCGGCGGGTTTCCGCCC